CTAGAGGGGAGACACGGGGGAGAAAGGATGCATGAAATCCTCACTAGTCTAAAAGCGGGGGCCCGCCATAGTCCCTACTTTCGGGAAGTCCAAACGGATTTCCGTGAATTACGAGATAGTGGCGGGACAGAGATGCAACTCCGAAGAGAATGGCAGGGGCGTGCATGAGCTCTCCTAGTATAGGTGGGTTCGAGGACCCTTTGGGAAAAAAAACATCGTCTTTCTTTCTGACATTCTAAAGATGAAACAATCGCATAGTTGCTCTAAAACTCACCCGCAACTCTCTTGAGCTCTCTTTTGATCATTCCGACCGAGGCAACTGCAGCCTCACGGAACTGTGGAAAACCCATAAACCAAATCAGTCAACAATCTTAGTCAAAATCTTTTATATATATATAATTTTCAGTATCTTTATGTATACCTTGGCCTTGAGATTCAACACAAGGGAGCCGTCAAGTGTGTGAGAGCGGACGGAGAAAGCATCCATGTGAAGATTGCTTATAGCTTCCATGATATCAGCCACGATGTATTCTCTATAAGGGCATCTGATTTCGATCACAACTTCTGTTTCCTTGACCTTAACTCTGACTTCTGAATGCTCTCTCGCCGTTCCTGGGGTGCTGTAATTAACAACGAGGTTCGTGCTCTCGTAGTTATCTGATGTCCCTTCGATCAACGCAGATGGATCAATGCTCGTCTTTCTCTGTCTTTCCACGAAATCCACCGACCCCATGCACGACTCTAGCTCTTCTACTCTTGCCTCTAGCTCCCACAGGTACTTTATCGTGTTGTTCAGGATCGATTCTTTGTCCACCTGTTGGCAAAAAAAAAACACAAGGTCGCTTGTCAAAGGTTCAGTTTGATGGTGTCTTCGATAAAGGGCTCAAACCTTGTGCAACAAAGCAAAGATTCTAACTTGGATCTATTGAAATAGAAACAATATATGGAGATTTGATATGATTGATAATAATTAAAGGTATAATATCAATTAGGAATAAAATGTATATTACCTCGTCTACCGTGGGAACCATCGATCCAAGCAGCCGGAATTTCTCGTTCTCTCTTCTTCGGTCCGAAGAATCGCCGTACTCGATCGGGATTTCCTCATTCTGAACGAAGGTTTCCCTCTCAAATGTTCGCTGCGTATCATCATTATAATGCATCAAAGGGACATTGTACAAGATCTTCCGCAACACATTCTGTGGATGCTGAGGCTGCCGCTGACGGTTCACATTTGAGGTTCCACGTCGCTTTCAACGCAAGAAACTCGCGATCCAAGCAGCCGGAATTTCTCGTTCTCTCTTCTTCGGTCCGAAGAATCGCCGTACTCGATCGGGATTTCCTCATTCTGAACGAAGGTTTCCCTCTCAAATGTTCGCTGCGTATCATCATTATAATGCATCAAAGGGACATTGTACAAGATCTTCCGCAACCCATTCTGTGGATGCTGAGGCTGCCGCTGACGTTTCACATTTGAGGTTCCACGTCGCTTCCAACGCAAGAAACTCGAACTAGAATCAGAAGAAGGGAGATTCAGGGGGCGATGCTGAGGTTTGTTTCTTCTACATGCAGCGTATCTAAGAAGGGTGGAAACCGTTCGTCTATAATGCATGTCTTCTTCAGACCCCAAATCCAGTGTAACCTGACGATCCCTCTCTGAATGATCCCCGAGCTGATGAAAATTCTCTTGGCTGATCCAAAACCCGGTTCGGTTGTGATCATCGTCGCTGTTAGTGTTTTGGCCGGCGGAGAAGTCTTCTGGAAAGCAGTGTGGTTTGGAGGTGTCTAAGAAGCAAGCTTTGACATGCTGAAGCAGATTGTGATCTTCCGCAGTCTTTTCATTTTCCATGAAAACAAATATGTACGTGTGAGGCAAGCATATACAATGTAAAAAGCCATGGCTATATGGGGAGATTTGATGAAACAGAAGAAAAGTGGTACCAAATCTGTGGCGCCCAGTTCAATGACACCGCCTGAGAAGGGAAAACACACAACGGTCTGCAGAAAACATTATGGAACGTAGAGAAGGAGGGCGTGATTTCTGGATTTCTTACCCGAAAAGACCAAAAGGGTTTAATATATTGGCGTTTATATATATATACCTGAATCGAGGCGCTCTATTTCCAAGAGAACATATACAGTGCAAGGAGAGATCACATGAAAGCCAATAAGACAGAAGAGTCAGAAGAACTCGGTTCTACTAGTACTGTTAGTCCTCATGCATGAAAAACGTCTAAGTGAAGGGGGCTTACTCTTGCTAGTAAAGATCGGGTGAAGAGTTTGCTCTCCGCGTACTGGGCGTTGCAAAGCCAGATGGTCTCGCCAGTTGCCAAACTTATGCCTGGCAAGCTAACACACGCATGCCGAGCGTTTCAAATTAATGTACAATGTCAAGATTCTTATTGATCTTGCTCCATGATAATTAAAGCACAGGGAGTGTGAAAGATGTTAAAAGAAATGTATTTTACTTGCAGAAAAATATTGTGACAAAGTAAAAGAAGCTAAATGAGCAAATTTTAGTGAATTAATGTAAAACCCGGTCTAACACACTTGTCAATAAAAGCAAAAAGAAAAAGCGACATACTCATATATAACAGATATATATATATATATATATATATATATACACACTTGTGTGTGTGTGTGTGTGTATACGAGAGAGAGAGAGCAGACCCTTGGCCGAGAGAGAAGGCATAGGACATGCAGAGCAAGTAATACCACTCTTCATCCGTGAGATCTTCCGGCGACAAGATCGTGCCGTAGTCAGCAGTCGGTGTTGTGTCTCCTTCGAGCATACAGAGATAAAGCTGCCTGAGCTGTTTGCTTCTTAGCAGCCCGTATTTACAGCGAGCCTTGAATTCATCATCCATCTCTTCATCATAACTCTTCTTCCTCTTCTTCATGCCCCCGTTGTAATACCCTTCACCCCACTCCAAAACCCTACTCAAGAAACACTATTATAGGTCTTCATTTACCAAGAACGAAAAATTTAAACAGCATATATATACATATATATTCACATGCCATATGGGATCTGCGTATGATAGGAGATATATCGGCTCAATGATCGAATTCCCAAGACCCGAATTACATTATATGTGATGAACGGCAATCTTGTCGTATATCTATGTATACTCCAGAGTTTCTAGCTAGGGTTCACTTTACGATCAAAGGGGCATGAGAATGGAAAGCAAAGAAAACCCCTAAGATGTCGTTTATATATTACCCGTGTTGAGTGGGTGAAGAGCACCAGAAGATCGCATAGCTCCATTGCACACTTCTTACGGCAACTGCGAGCTGCTTTCTCAATCTCCTGTGTCTTTCAACTTCATCGTTTCCTTCCTCATAATCCCCCATTTCCAGACCGACTTCACAAAACTATATACACCAAACACCCTCAAGAGTGTTTAATCTGTATATTATTATTGAAGGCGGCCCTTTTATGCTAATAAAAAAAACACCCTATATAGTACAGTAGGGTCAAAGAAAGAGAAGGCTTTGTATTTTGTATATTAATTGAAGATGAATTTAAAAGAAAAATAAAATAAAAAAAACAAAGTCTTAAGCTTTATCTTTTTCTATCCTCTTTCTCTTTCTCAGCATGGCCCAATCAAGACTGCCTTTAAAGCTGGTAGCAGTGGCTGTGGGAAAGGAGAGAGATAGAGAGAGAGAGAGAGGCTGACTTGGGTCATATATGTAGCATTAGATTCTGTTCGCTGAAACCCAAGGTCGCGCACTTAGACTGTGTGATGCTGAAAAAAATGCAGATTAACAATCTCTTTCTTCAAAAAAGTATATTTTAAAAAAATGAAAATATATCTCTATTATTAGTTCAAAGAATAATAACTATTATTTTTATTTGTTGTTAGAAAATATCACCAGCTCGATCATCTCATTGGATGATGTAGAGAGTATGTGCAACTTCGAATGTGTTGACGAGCCTTTGAATTGCGCAACGGAGCTTATAAATTGTATGTTATATATATACATACATACATACATATGTACGTTTGCATATAAAATAAATGAAATTGTTTTGTTCTCATTAATGATAAGTATTATTTATTGGACTACAGCATCTTAAATATAACTGGTATGAGCATAGTTAATGAAGGTTTATCAAAGAACGTACATTCATAAATATGTAGTGGCAACAAGGTGGGATTCACACCCCTTCAAGATTCCACATTCCAGGCGCACATATATTTATGCGTATTACAATATTGTGCGTGATTTGTCTTAAAATTCTTATATACTTAATTGACAAGTTAATGTGACGGCAATAATTGTATCGCGATTATTTATCGCTAATCGATTGACATTTTATCCGTTTCAAAATAATTATTATTTTAGATTATTTTACAGTTTTTTAGAAAAAATAGAAAATGTCATGTACCCTTATTTAATGATAAAAACAATGTTATCATTAATAATTTATTAGAATTTAATAGGGATAAAATTGAAAACTATTGTAAAAAAATATCTTGAAAATGTAGAATGACATAGAAAATAACCTAAAATTACAAATATTTTGAAACGGAGGGAGTAATTAGCATTTTGCATTTTGTCTGTGGACATCTTTTAACAAGTATTGCCGAATATTTTTGAACGGTTTACTTTTAATATTTTTATTGTTTTACGGTAAGAAAAATAGCTAACAAGTTGTCGTGAAAAACAAAATTTATGGGGAGAGGATAGGAGCAAGAGACAGGTGGGAATAATAATTGTTCCATCTCTCGACACGATGCCCACATTATTTAGTGATGCTTCAAATTGGGTTTCTTACCGCATTTATTGCCGTAAAGACAAAAAATAATATGATGATCACTTTAAAAAAGATTATAAAAACAAAATCTATATATCTACTGTTTTCACCACTTGTTTTCCTATATTTTCTTTCATATGAAATTTCTAGATACGTGTGCATATATATATATTTATATAATTTTTAATTAATTTTTTACCATATGTTGTTAAATAAAGATATATATGTATATATATAATGTTTATACACACGCATAAAACGTGTTTAAAAATAAAAAAAATTGCTAAAACAAGTCCACAAAAGTACCGAACAATAATGAAAAAACAAAACAAAAATTCTTTTTGGAAGTTGAGAAGGAAACAAAATGTTTTAACGAGCAAACCATCCGCAGGGAAATGACAATCATTTCAATATGTCGCGATGGATATATATATATATATATATAAAGAGATGCCAATTAAAGATGATAGGGGAGATGAAGGGGACATGATTCGCAGACACGTCGGTTATAGTAACTGGAACTATTTTCCAAGTAATAAGCCATATAATTTATTATTTTTGTATCCTATATACAAGTCCAAGTGTAAGTGCTACATATAATGTCTTATATTTTACATTCAGCCGAATCCAATGATATTCTTAATAATTGAACTGCAAACGTTGTACATTATGCATTAGTATTTATAATTTCAAAATGTTTTTTATACGCTTCAGCCTATAAAATAGATTTAAAAAAAAGTAAATAAACAACAATAGCCTTGGAATATTTCCATGTGAGGATATTATACGACGACGATGATGATAATAGTAATAATCATATATGTAGGGTTTTAAACATTAAAAAAATATGAATTTTATTTTGCTTGTTGAAGTTTGTGTTGAAAAATTAATTTATTAACGTTTGGTATTTGCCATGATTTAACGGTTTAGTCCCTAATAGAACGATGACATGAAAAGTGGGCATCATGGGCTTTCACAGTTGATGAGTCAATGTCCAATCATAAGATTAAAGTGACAATTTTTTTAGATAACTATGTCCCTAAACAAATAGTCTATCAGTTGAAATAACAATTTGAGAATAAGATGGATGTAACATTCATTTTATACGTGTTCTAGACGTTTTTAGCATATATTAAAGATTGTTACGTTACGTGATTTGATATATTAATATTATTTTGTAAATACTAAAAAAAGTGATGTATTAAAAAAGACACAACTATTGTGTTTCATCTGATGACATATTATTTTCTGTTAAATGATAAAAAAATCTGAAAATTGAAACGTGTTTAACTAAAATTTAGATATCGTACCTAAACTTGCGTGACCTAGTTGTGAGAGAACATGTAAAGCATGTTTTCACTCTGGGTTTAAACCCAAGTGTGGAGAGGGGCATTCACCTGGGTTTTTTCGGTCTTCTAGGAGATCTAGTCGGATCAAAAGTCCGGTGAACTTCCGGATTATCAAAAAAAAAAAAAAAAAAAAATTAGGTATCGAGATGATGTGGAAGAGATAGAAATTAAATTTGTTTTGGACAGTAAATGAACGTAGGGCGTGTCTGGTGGAGACGAGTAAATGGGTGAGTCAGACAAGGTAATGTAATGTTCGAAAAGCTGTGACGTGAGTGGGAAATGAATGCGAAATAAAGTCCCCGTTTAGGTGTAGCGGTTAGTGTGCATTTATGAGCGACCGGACAGAAACCGACAACGAGATTGTCCGCGTCTTCCTCCCATCCTTCACTGTTCATTTTCATCTGCACGAGGGTTGAATAAAGTACCATTCCGAACCAATTTTATAAATGTTTACATAAATTAATTACTCAGATTAGAGCTATTTCCTTTCCCTTTTTAAGGAAAAGACCTATTTGATTATTCATTCTGACCATGGAATCTTATACATCTATTCTTATATATTTTATACTGGATCGGAATTTTGAAATATTTGATTATTCTTTCTAATAAAAGAATATTGAATATCCTAATTAGTATTTTATTATGTTTGGATTTAAATATCTTATTATTTAATTTTGTGAAAATGAAAGGCTTGAGATTTTGGATACATGGGCTCTAAATGTCGTCGTATATGTTCGGCCCATTTGTTCTAGGCCCAAGTATGAGTTATATATGCCACGTGTCCGATAAAACCGGCCCGTCACGAAACGTTTTTGTACTCGACGGGCCGCCGAGAACCATCAAAATTCAAATTGCTTGGATGGATCCATAATAATAGAACAGCCGGGACGGCTTCGCGTGGGTTTCGTTTCCCCCCGCCACAAACCGCTGTTCCACCTGTTCAAATTCCGGGTAAGTTTGAATTCGGGAACGATTTTCCAGGAAAATTAGAGTACTAACTACAGAGAGCGCATTCGGAGGACATCTCAAGATTTGGACGGCGGTTTCTTCGGTTAGTTCGATTCATGATCGGAATCCGCTGAGCATGGAATTCGAAGCTGCAGCGTGGGCTTCGCCCAGAGTTCCTAGTTCAGTGCCTTACAAATCTGGAGTTCGTAGTTCTAGATGGCAGTTTTGGGTGAATCCGAGACGGATAGGAGAGGATAGAGAGGACTATCAGACAGTGTTCATCAATATGTGCATCATTCAACTGGTAACTACGGAAATCGATTTGGTTTCTTGCGTTTTAAGGGCTCCTTAGTTCATCTATCGCTAGTTATGCTGGCGGTGTAAGGCTGTAGATTGCCACGAAATTGTTTGCTTGGGGTTGTGTATGCCTTCAGTAACCCATTGTGAACATACCCACCGTCAAACTTGGTCTGCCCAAGTTTGTTATCAAGCAGAACGGCGTAATCACTCTCTTTGGCCAAGTTGAGGCCCCTTACGGCCAACACTACATCGCCATTGTCATGGTCCAAGTGTATCATGTAAGGCGTGACGCGGCCTTGTGTCTGGTCGTAGTGTTTTCTCAGGACAACCTGGTCGGGATCAATGCCATAACCGCTGGGAGGGGCCCAGAGGGGATTATGAAGATCATCTTCGTAGACGGCCAGGATTAAGCGGCAGAGCCTGGGAACTGGTTCGAACTCTTCTGCTGTGGATAATCCCCAGTTCTCGCTCTCGTGACCTGCAGTGTAGAGGCATTTCCTCCACACCCAATGGGCACAACCCAAGCAGTATACGCATTCAAGGATGGGAACGCCACACAGTATTGACATGGACAGACGCACCTATCTAGCAAACATTAGATTCCCAGAACTGAGATGTGAATTCGGTATCTGCTCAGGACCGAATTATATCCTCCAGAATGATCAAAGACGACATCAAAACTCGATGCCGGAGGATTTGCAATTTTTTTCTATCTTCCTCTAGGAAAAGAGACTGAATCATAAGGCCAAAGGATGACTGAGCAGAGGCAGAAATCGACACGGATGTAACTCGAAATCGGTGATCACCGCATCAGAAGACGACCCATCAAGCGATTTCAGGGAAAATTGTTTTATAGTGTGGTAATAGGTGTGAAAGTTTCCACCTGAGCGAATCTTGCCTGTTTTGTTAGGTCGATGATCAAGTTTTGCATTTCAAAGGAAAGCTTTGACTCTGCGGGCAGGTCCGTATAGAATTTGATGAATTTTTTTGGAGGATGGAGTCATCTCTGAAATTGGAGTCGTTCTTGGTCCATGTGGAGAGCTTAGATATCAAACACCACGGCATATAAACTCAGCAAAGCCAAGCATGAAGTAAATGTAAGCCCAAGCATGACTACAGTTTTGAAACAAGAAATTCTGGTGTTGGAATTTATCTGTTACATTTGCAGCTGCCCTTGAGATATGAATAATGTCGCTGTGATTCCACAGATGAATGAAACGAATTGCAAGCAACTGCACAGGATGTGGCGCAAAAAGCTGGACAATATTTTATCATCTCCCCATATGGTGAAAGGATCACCTTCACAGTTCACATCCAGACTCAATCTCTAACTTGGGTAAAAAAAAAATCTCAATCTCTAGGATGATGAATTTTCAATCTACTTGACTAAATCTCAACCTCATAATGATGATTTTTCATCTACTACACTAACATCCCTGTTGCTCTACATTTACAGCTACAACAGCCCTGTCCCCTAAAGCCTTCATGTTTTCCAGTTCTACAACTATCCAGGACAAAATGGTTGATCTATGAAGTCATCTCATTTTCTTATCATACTCATCAAGGACCAAGAGGAGCAGCCTTCTCTGCCTGATCCTGCTGAGCTTTCCCCTTCTGGCTCGTGGAATGTTCCATAAGATGGTGGTGATTGAGATACAGGTATGTCAAGAGCAGCAGCTTTCATGAGCGCCGCTCTGTACTCTTCGCTGTGTTCAACAACAACAGAATGCTGACGTTCCATTTTTTGCTCCGCTGGAATCTGCATCATCCGATCCTTTTCCAGCATCAACTGATTAAAAAGGTTCAAACCGGAGAATATGGGTTCTGTCAGGATTCAAGGACAGGAAGAACCAAAAGCGGAACCAGTCTCAAGAACCAAAATTTAGGGTACTCACATCAAGAGCCCTCTGTGATTCCCTTTCGACCCAAATGATGCCATGATCAGAAGTTGCGTTGCAGGAGAGAACTATCTGCTCAAATCTACCGTCAACTGGCACAGCCGTCCTCACAACAGGAGGAAATCTTCCTAATCTGCAGAAGGGCAGGCTTTTGAGTTCTAAACCCATCGTCAGGTCGGAGAAATGACATCAATGCATGTGAGTACGGATAAATACCTTAAGGGCTTCCGCTCCACGATATGGTATAACCTACCAGGAGCATAAAGCCGCCTGGGATCTTTAAGCTTCTTCTCCTCAAATGTGAAAGTATCCTTCAAACACGTAATGCACAACAGACATGGCAAGCTGCGCGATCAGGAGGTCAACAACAAGATTATCAGTTTCATTTTCCTACTCAAACGCTGATGCATAATGTTTCGTCCTTGTGCCTAACGCATGGATTTCCTGTGAAATTGCAGGTCAATCATGGAGCAATTTGGAAACTGAAAGGAGACAAGGACATACTATCTTTTACCAGATAATTGACTTGAAGACATCCTCCAGAGCTGTGGTTGTCCGAGGCAAGAAATCATCCTATTTCAGTCAGAACAGCCCATACAGTTGAATCAGAAGGGATGTGAGCATCAATAGAGAATGATACTATGAATGATCGTCTCACCTGTAGAACGACAGAGTTTATGATATCTGCGTATCTCACAGCTAGATTAAGAGACATACACCTCGGAGGAGCAATAGCGAAGCATCTTATCCTCTCCCTCTCTATATTCCCCAACCTATCCCGGTTCTGAACCACAACCAAAACCAGCAAAGATACGACCCCAGCACCTAAGGAATGGCCAGCAAACGTCAAGGAATAACCCGGGTTTTCCTCGAGTAACTTGAGTAGAACTTCGTGCTCCTCCTCGAAAATCCACATGGCTGCCTTCAGTAACCCATTGTGAACATACCCACCGTCAAACTTGGTCTGCCCAAGTTTGTTATCAAGCAGAACGGCGTAATCACTCTCTTTGGCCAAGTTGAGGCCCCTTACGGCCAACACTACATCGCCATTGTCATGGTCCAAGTGTATCATGTAAGGCGTGACGCGGCCTTGTGTCTGGTCGTAGTGTTTTCTCAGGACAACCTGGTCGGGATCAATGCCATAACCGCTGGGAGGGGCCCAGAGGGGATTATGAAGATCATCTTCGTAGACGGCCAGGATTAAGCGGCAGAGCCTGGGAACTGGTTCGAACTCTTCTGCTGTGGATAATCCCCAGTTCTCGCTCTCGTGACCTGCAGTGTAGAGGCATTTCCTCCACACCCAATGGGCACAACCCAAGCAGTATACGCATTCAAGGATGGGAACGCCACACAGTATTGACATGGACAGACGCACCTATCTAGCAAACATTAGATTCCCAGAACTGAGATGTGAATTCGGTATCTGCTCAGGACCGAATTATATCCTCCAGAATGATCAAAGACGACATCAAAACTCGATGCCGGAGGATTTGCAATTTTTTTCTATCTTCCTCTAGGAAAAGAGACTGAATCATAAGGCCAAAGGATGACTGAGCAGAGGCAGAAATCGACACGGATGTAACTCGAAATCGGTGATCACCGCATCAGAAGACGACCCATCAAGCGATTTCGACTCATTTCTTGGTTCAACTAAAAAAAAACCAGAGAGAGAGAGAAGGGAGCTAGTGATTCTACAGTCAAGTCAACCCCATTACATTGACGGGTTCTAGGCGATGGTGGGTGGAGAAATAAGAATCTACTCACCGGAAATGCTCGGAAGATTCCATTAGCATCCCGCGACAGCAAGGAACGTGCCACATTGGTCTTGGAAGGTGACGAGGCTGAAGCTGATGTTGGTTTCATGGGTCGGTGTATGACCCATTTTGGTAACTTTCTGGATTTGGGTCCATCTATTCTTATTCTATAACCTCAAGTTGCAAAGGTATTGGGCTTTAAGAGTAAGGCCCATATATTGCAACCCTCGGTGGGCCATGTTGAAAGTTATAAACATTGTTTGTTCCATACGCTGAAACATTATGCTCATATAGTGTGTGTCTTGAAAGACTCGGACTTTGTTAGCCACTCACCAGACCGTTAACGCTGGCGTTTCTCCCGTAGCTCCGGCTCCGCCGTGAATACCGAGACAGGTAAGCCGGTTTTGCCTGCCGAGAAATTCGAAGCGTATAAGAGAGGACAAAAAAGTAAAAGGATGAGAGATTTTCAGCAAGGCACAAGGAAAGCACCTTCCCCGATTGATCCCTTGTTGTTGCCTCGGTTTTGCAGTTGTCGAGTTCCTGGAAAATGTCCCCCTGCTGCAGAGGTTACACATTTCAACTCTGAAGCGAATCGCTGAAGTTGTCGTGCTCAAGCGTTACGGTCGGTAATCTCTAGTCTCTACGATTCTGAATTTCGATATTTTGTTTTTCCCGATTCACGGCGATTTGTGTCTGATCGAGTATTGAATTTCTTCCCTGGCCTGCCTCGTATTTTAGTTTTACACTGGGTAGCATTTCTCGATACTATCACATTCCTCAGCCATGTTGTGTAGCAGGAAAAGGGGAGTAAGTGTGTTGTTCACGAAGATCAAACTTGGGATGGAGTTTATTTCATATTGGTAGGACAGGTTTGTCTGAATTTGTTTATGTCGTGCATTTAGCAAGGTCAAAAGGAATATACAGGACTGAAATGGAGGACTTTCTAGGTTTGTCCAAAGATTTAATCTTTGCTCAAAGGGTGGGCAATGGATTATTGTACGATTACTAATGGATTGGAGAAAATTGGAAAATATGAGCACCTTTATTCATCCAGAAACTAGACAAATGGTGTTCACTTGTACATAGAAAAACACATCTACGCTAACTGTATGTGCCATGTTTATTTTGCGTTGCTGTCGGAGTGTTGATTGTCGGTTGAACTCCCCGATTGCTCTTTCTTCGATCCAAAGATGAACCCTTTGAGAGAATCTTGAGCTGATAATATCCTCCTTTTAATCTGCAAACTCGCAAAATCTCATCTTGGTAAGAACCTCAGATAGTGCTGTTTCTGCACAGAGCATCCGTGCTCAGTAATCTATATAGGTTATATGTACGTATCCTCGACGAGATGTTTAATTGCTCGGGACACTGATGACGAAGAACAAAAAAGCCCATAATGGCATGACAGAGACAGCCGGAAGAGACGAAAACATTGATAAGAGATTATGAAAGAAGGTAGTCAACGGTGGACAAATTTATGAAATATCTGTGAAGAAGATGATCTAAAAGAGCTTAAAAAACCATCGACCAATCAGGATGCCAGAGCAGAAATCAGAGCTTACAGGATCAAGGACGTTGGGCTCGGGACCATAATCTGCGGTTAAGAGGAAGTAGGAAGCAACTACGGTCGCCACCATTGTCGTTCTCCTCACGATCTTATCGGTTCGGGGATCCATCTCGACGAAGAAGCGCAGGCGACGAAGGGCTTTGTCGATTGCAGATGGAGAAGGAGATGCCTAGAAAGTATAACCTATTATTCGCCCTTCCCGATGGTTGTACGCCGCTTACATGTTTTAGGGACAGAATGCAGGACGTGTCATGTACACCTGGACGACACAACATGCAGTTGCGTTTAACGCAGACGACAAGACACCGCTTTTGTCACCCTCGCATAGACTGCATGACGTTTCGCATTTCAAGGAACAAGCTTTGTAGCGTTTTTACATCATCCAAACAGCGAAGCGTACAATCGGTTTAAAGGCCGATGACGGTTTTATAATCATCAATGGGCCTTGGCCCAACAGAGAAAACAGAGAGCCTTATACTCACACGGCGTCTCTCCGACGGCTACCTTTCGGTGCACCTCTGAAACTCTCGAGTGGAGAGAACTTGGAGATTTGCTTCCTGCCAGGTTGCAGAACACCGTACGAATGGAAGATCCTAAGCTAGCACCAGGAGGCTCGACGGTAGAAACGCCGGCAGCGTCTCATGATCTCCATCCTCCGCTGGCCTCAGCTCATGTATCTCCGCCTCCGGCTGACGGACCTCAGCCTCCGCCTCCGCAAACGGCGTCCGCGACGCAGCAGCCTACGCCGTCAATTATGGATGCGCAGGGTAGGGGCCGAAAACGACCGCTTGAGTGCAATATGCAGATCGAGAACTCCAAGTACTTCAAGATGCGTCTCATCGTCAGAGATCTTCGCCCTCTCTTTCTAGAGGTATGGTTTGACTGCTGTTGAGCGAAATTCAGCTCGGAATTGGGAAATTCCCTTAGTTCTCCTCAGATTTCGGGACTTTATTTCCAGGAAAATACCATCTGTTTTTGATAGACGAGAGGATGCCTGCAATTGGAAATGCTTTAGAAATTTATGTAGGAATAATCTGGGGCTTTACTCGTACAACTTGGAAGCTGATGGCTGATTGTTTCTATGTCCCTCATTGTTGCCTCGAGCAATGCGTCTAACCTTTTGGGTTTTATGGTCACTTGAATTTCTTTCCAAAAGTTTTCATCTTTGCATAAGTTGCCATGTTGGATGGAATTTGGTGGATGAATGATAGGATCTAAGCATTTTTTTTTCCTTGCTGGTTTTGGGTTTCTTTGCTGTGGGGAAAAGGGAATGTAAAGCCTAAGATTCCGCTGGTCTCGTGCAGCTGCTTCGAACTCCCGACTTCAAGAACTGCAAGGCAGCCAGAGAAGTTCAAGAAAGTGAGCTCCAGAGCCCTGCTTGTCTATTTGCTGTGATCGAATTGATGCTGAGTGATATTATGTCATTGCAGAGATGAAGCTTGTGCTTGAACTTTACCAACAAATGACTGGAGAGCCAGCCAAATGCGAGGACGCACCAAAAACCCAGTCCTTGTCAAATGGAAATGTAGTTGATCAAATTCTGCAGGATGCCAGCGTGAAATCAGTTGAAATGCAATCGTTCCAGACCGGAGCTTTGTCTGAGAAGCATCAGTCCGAAGGCAACAATAGCGTAGGAGGAGACCCGGTCGTTGGAGGGTCTGCCTTTGGGTGGAATTTCGTTACCTTTGGAGGCACTGAACCTGTGTTCTATGGAATGACAAAGGAAGAGTACAGAAGCTCTCACCCAATTACCAAGGGAGAGTTAGGCAGTCGAGTTGCTGAGACATAACTTACTCATCCCATCACCTTGTAATTTTGTACAAGCCATGTTTGCTGCTGAATTCAGGGTGAATTTCTAAGAGAGCCCGTTAATTTATGTTTCATTTTTTTTTTGTAATGTCTGATACCAACCAAATGCATATGCAGCCTCTATTTTGTATAAAAATGGGAGATTGTGTTATACACACATATATGTATAGGTCACCGTATACATGGAAAGTGGGGAGTAAGATGAGCTCAAAGGACAGAACTTGATGGAATTCAAGTTGAAGTACAAGAAACAGATCCTAGCGAGGTGAGCTTTGGCCATAATCACGTTACCTTTTGTGTTGGAAACAAGGATTGAATGCGGATGGAGATCATTTGCATTTGCTATGAAATAAAGCAAAGACGTCCGAAATCAAAGACCAAGTTACTAATAAATGAAAACATAACCATTTCAAAACACGCCACAAGTTCCTCAACTTAAATCGTCTTTCAGCCTAAATGACGGGCATTTTACTCAAATGACCCAGTTGGGTCGCACAAATTTCATCGGTACACCATTAAATTTTTTTTTAACTTTTACACCACTTTTCGGTTAAAAAAGTCCAAAATATCTTTTATTTTTTATTTTTTACGATTTTATTACGATTAACATATAATTAATATACAATTAAAATAAGAAGTATTATGATGGTACGAATATGAAAGTGCAAAAAAAATATAGTTATTTTTAAAATTTGATAGATAAATTTTTTGTCATCTTGTTTAGAATTAATTGTAACTGTATTTAGAATTAATTATGAAGTCGCAATAATAAAGTTGTTTTCGAACGAATAAATTACAAATTTCGGTAATATAATCTTTTCAAAAAAAATTAATACCTTATGTTTAGTTTAGGTGGTGTACCGCATAAATTCGTGCTAGCCAACTGGTTTATTTGAGTGAAATGCCCACAAGAGACTAAGGTACTAATAAATAAGAACCAAGAAGATTGCAAGGTTTCATCCAACTTACGTACAGATCGTGATCTCCTCCAATTTTCTCCAGTCGTACTCTTATGGCGAAGCTAGATGGCAACGACGACCTCCGCAATTGTGTCATCACGCTGGTAAGAGATTCTTCTTCTACTTTTGCTTATCCATGGCGGTGTATTCCCGTTAGCTGAGAGCTGTTAGTGATACGATGGAATTGCAGAGGGAAAATCCGAAGAGGCGAAGGGATAGGGTTTGCGTTGGTTGTGGAGCCGGATTCGGAGGTGATAGACCCATGGCGGCTCTCAGGTTGCTTCAGAGAGTCGAAGGTATTCACTATCTTGTCCTGGAGTGCTTAGCCGAACGGACGTTGGCTGATCGGTGGCGGATCAGGGCGTCTGGTGGTGATGGCTACGATTCTCGTGGTATGATTCCGGTCCTCATTCGACTTTTGGCTGCTGCTGTTGTCATCAAATCGAGATTCTATTTCGTTGGATGGGTTACAGCATCAGTAACTGTTTTATTGTTTGGGATAATCATGACAAAGCAATAAACTGAAGATGAATGTCATGTTTATAGTTTCGGGATTAGCCATGATTTTATGATGTTTTTCAGTTACGGAATGGATGCAAATGTTACTACCACTAGCTCTGGAGAAAGGCGTTTGTATAATCACCAACATGGGTGCAAGTAAGTGCTGGAGCCCTTTCTCCATGAATTTGATGCTTTTTCTTTATCGAATGAACTATCCTTTGTCTTGGTAGTGGATCCTCCCGGGGCAAAGAAGAAGGTTCTTGAGCTGGCCAACGAATTAGGGCTCAATGTTTCTGTGGCTGTCGCTCATGAGGTGAATATTGACTCAGGTAGTAGCAGAAAATCGTGGAAGGCATTTTCTTCTCCAATAGTGGTAGTTTCTTTCCACTAGTTTTCTGTATCATTCTAAAAAGATGCAATACTTAGCTTTTGCCCGCTTGGTTTAAATTGGTATAGGTTCCGGACCGTCTTTTGATGTTCAAAACTTCTCTGAGGGGGTATGCTCCGGTTTCTAGCTTCTACTTTAATGTTCAAATGGAATGTTTAATCAGATGATGCAATTATTCAAATGGATTGCAAGACATGAACAAGTTTATGTGAGAGATGTAATATGTAGGTTCTGTGAGGGAGGAGTTTCAACTTCGAATTATTACAGCGACATAGCCATTATAATTAAGTTTGTCTCCATTCCTGTGGTTGACAAGTGGGTGTGTTCTACATGGTAAAGGGTGCTAGCACATATCTTGGAGCTGCTCCTATTGTCGAATGTTTGGAGAAGTATCAGCCAAATGTGATAATTACTTCGCGAGTTGCTGATGCCGCCTTATTCTTAGCCCCAATGGTGAGGACTTGTTACCGCTGTAGTTGTTCAATAAATGAGCCTGACTATATTGCACAGACATCTGCTCTTGGATTTGCAAGTCAGTTGAGATATATAGTCATGTTCACCAATTCTTTTTTCCTCTGCCTAGATTAGATAGAAGAGGCTGTTTTGTTGCTATATATGGACTGGTGATCTCCTTGTTTGCATAATTAGGTTTATGAATTAGGTTGGAACTGGGATGAGTTGGAGCTGCTAGCTCAGGGAACTCTTGCTGGCCACCTTCTAGAGTGTGGTTGTCAGCTCACTGGTGGTTACTTCATGCATCCAGGTGAGTTTTGTCTTTATATGCAAGTAGAAAGTTCCATGGCTGCTATTAGTGATTAAATCTTCAATTTTTTCTTGTGTCCTTTCACCTGCAGGTGACCAATATAGAGACATGCCTTTCCCTCTTCTCCTAGATCTGTCCCTTCCTTATGCAGAAATTAGTTGCGACGGAAAAATATGTGTGGCAAAGGCTGAAGGTAGTGGTGGGGTTTTAAATACAAGTACTTGTGCTGAGCAACTTCTTTATGAGGTTGCTGATCCCGGTAATTACATTACACCTGATGTGGTAAGTCAGAGATGCAAAATCAAGAAGATTAGAGCTAGAAGCACTATCGAAAGTGTTGACGTGAATATGCTCGATGCAGGTGATTGATATACGAGATGTTTCTTTCCTCCCGTTATCAGACTGTAAAGTACAATGCAGCGGGGCAAAACCATCTGTTGATGCAGTACAAGTTCCTGAGAAACTCTTGCAGTTGGTTCCAAAGGTTGTTTCTTCATAGAGGATGTTGGCACAATTAGACCAGTACTGAAGAAGAACCCAAGTCTTATCCTAAGATCCATATTTTTCTTGTCAGGATTATGGATGGAAAGGATGGGGAGAGATATCCTATGGAGGGAATGGAAGCGTTCAACGTGCTTGGGCCTCTGAATTTCTGGTAAGTTGTTGGCCCGATTTGAGTTTGCTTCTTCAGAAAGACTCCTTATTGCGTCGAGCTAATGTTGTTTCTTCATTCCTTAACACGTTGGCACCAAATTTCTATTTATTTTTCAGGTTCGATCATGGATGGAAGAAACTGTTCCTGGTGTTAATCACCGTATCCTTTCTTATGTGATTGGACTCGATAGTTTGAAGGCAACAAGTAATAGTGCCGAATCATCATCTTGGCAGCCTTGTAGAGATGTTAGGTTACGTATGGATGGGCTCTTTGAACGGAAGGAACATGCTCTCCAGTTGACCAAAGAGTTTACTGCTTTATATACGAATGGGCCAGCTGGTGGTGGTGGTATAAGGTAAGTAATCCAATGCTTATGACAGTATTATTGTTGCTGAAGCTGTGAAGTGTATAGCTTCCTGTATTTATTTGGTCACACATGATTTCGCTACCCCTGTTAGTCATTAAGCCCATAGACTCAAATAAACACCCATATGGCTCTCACATTTTTGTTTTCCATATGCTAACCCATAACGAATGTATGTAAGAATAAAAAGATCCTAGATCTGTAATATTAGATCCATGTAGATGTAGAACGTTTGATCTAGTGTAATCAAACACCAAACGGTAAATTGAGAAATTGTAGGATTAAGGAACTGATACGTGCATATATCCCGTCGCTTTTATGTGTGTTTCATAATGGTTATATTCTTATATCTTGTGCTGAATTCTTTTGTACTGGCAAAATCCCATTTTCATTGACGACTTGCTTTTGAGGAAAGAGAAAATGTGGTGTGTAAATGGTCTGTTGTTGGTTGACATGGCTACTTGTTGTAACTAAATGCAGCACAGGATACAGAAAGGAGATTTTTCTTGAAAAGCGTTTGGTATGTTTTATTTTCTTGCAACTTTTTGTTAGTAGCGCTGCAACAAGCAAGATCAAGTCTGATGTTATTTGTTCGGATATCCAGGTCAACCGAGAATCTTTGTACTGGAAAACTGGAGTACAGCACACCGACATGTCAAAATCAGTGAACCATGAACATCGTCCTGAAGTTGTTACCGCAGGGAAAGTTTACAAGGTAAGTACTTGCTCAAATGAAGTTGCTTAACTGATCCATATTTGCAGAGACCGGCCAACAAATTCTGGCTTATAGATCTGGTTATCCTGTGTACAACCATAAACTATGGTCCAATAATAACAAAAGTTTCATCGTATGTGTAGGTCCATATGGAAAATAAAACTTCCTCCCTCACACTTGGAGGCCATTCTTGTATGGATTCATTTGCAGTCCCTCTCTCTCATGCCCCTGCTCCTGCTCCATCTTCCCAGAAAATCCCACTCTACACTGTTGCTCATGGTCGGGCTGGGGACAAAGGAAATGACGTGAACTTCTCTATAATACCACATCACCCCCCAGATGTGGAGCGCCTTAAGCTCGTCATTACTCCTCAGTGGGTGAAGGGTGCGATGTCAGTTCTGTTACAAACCTCTTCCTTTTTGGATATTGATTCCAATCGGATTGATGAAAATGTCACCGTGGAGATATATGACGTTAGAGGGATTCATGCTCTGAATGTTGTGGTCCGGAACATTCTAGACGGTGGAGTCAACTGTTCTAGAAGAATGGATCGACATGGGAAGGCCATCTCAGATCTCATCCTGTGTCAGCATGTTGTCTTGCCCTGATTAAGCTTCTGGTACTCCCATGTCCCAACCACTTTCCCTTACCTTTTTTATGTGCTTAAATAGTCTGTATTAGATGCTTATGTTTATCTATTAATGACTCAGATAAATATTATTCTCATATTTTCTCTACGAAATATATGCTTACAATTTTGAGATTTGTAATTTTAAAAGCAAACACAAAGTATGGTCTATATAATAGTATGTTTCCAATAATGATACTATTCTAGGGATTTTTGCCTTCTCTACTCCACCAGGTCCATACACACCTCTCCATATAAATTATGTAAGTGTCGAATTTTAGTCCACGTATGTGTCTTGAAAATTGTGTAAATGCATTTACGAATGGAATTTGAATTAGAAAAATTTACTTCAAGTTATTTTTAGTAAAACATCTTATATATACAACTGGATATGATGATGATGTTCTTTTACACGAGTCGCGTATCATATATATATAGTACATACTATATATACATATATATATATATATATATATATATATATGTGTGTGTGTGTGTGTGTAATGTTAAATGTGAATAATGATAAAGTGAGGCTTGGCTTGCAGATATGCAAATGCAAGGCACTAACATCCGGACATGGGTTGCACCACCTCATGAAATAGCAAGGTACAGTTGCCTTACCTATCATCCTCCTTAAGATTCTGTGTTGAATTGGTCAAAAACCACAGCCCTTGTTTTGCTCTTCCACCTAATTTTGTCTCATCCAATTTCCACCGTTGCCAGAAAAAAACATGGAAGAGAAAAAAAGGAAAAAAAACTCTCCGTTATAATCTCACAACAGCTCAGGATTTTGTATAAAACAAGAAAAAGACATAGCTGGTTCCTCCTTTGTCTGAGGTTAAAATCCTTTGGTTTCCTGTGGAAACACCTTTGTTCCTTCTTTAATAAAATCCCTCAGACAATCTCTTGATCTGATTAAAGAAAAAACCGGATCATTCAGGATCTTGTAGCCGTTTCTAAAGAAGGAACAATAGAAGGAAAAAAACAAAATGTCATTCACAGGAACCCTCGACAAATGCAATGCTTGCGACAAGACTGTGTATGTGGTGGACATGTTGACCCTTGAAGGAATGCCTTACCACAAGTCTTGCTTCAAGTGCAGCCATTGCAAAGGAACCCTTGTGGTATGTATCATCTTTATCTTATCTCTCTGTTCATTGTTTGTTTTTCCTTCATGTTTCCCAATAGATAAACCTTGATCCCCATCAGTCTTGCTTCAGATTTTGTGTTTGGCAATTTCAAATCAATGTGAAATTTGTGTGTTTCGCGAGAAACATCTCGGAAACCACATTTTCACTTTTTTTTCAAGATCAGTCCCTTCCTATTTAATCTGTGGTCAAATTTGAATCTGTTTACGAAATGTACATCTACATTCCGAAATATGTTAATCTCACTCAACAGGCTGAGGTATGCATGCATAATCATTTTTCTTTCTCATAATTTCTGATGGGAAATGTAACTTTGGATGGCAGATGAGCAACTATTCCTCCATGGACGGAGTCCTCTACTGCAAGACTCACTTTGAGCAACTTTTCAAGGAATCAGGGAACTTCAGCAAAAATTTTCAAACAGGTTCTTTTGTCTTATCCTCTCCATTTTACCTATCATACAAAATTATTCTTTGATGAATCATTCTTTCGTATCTGTTTTTAATTTTTGCTAACCGTGAATCATTTGGTCCCTCAGGAAAATCCGAGAAGCCGGAGCTGGTACGCTAGTCATTAACCCCTATTTGTTTTATCCTCTCTTAAGACCTACTAGATGATTGATCCATAGGATCTCTACCAAAACATAGTTATACACAGATCATGAGAATAGTTTCAGATTATGTGTCACGCCCTTGTGGGACTAAACGATCGAATGCTGCATCATGGGGGTACTATTGAAAATTTGCATGTTACATCATCAGCGATTACAATGGCATTAATACTAGAATCGACCCTTTCTCAAAATCTTCTAAGGTGTCTGAAAGTTGGGGTTCGTTTTTGGATTGTCTGAAATTTAGGTCCTTTTGTTTTTTGAAATGTTCCCTCTAAGTTTTCGGTATTGAGCATCATAACAAGAGAGAAATATGTGTTGAAACAACAACAGAATAGGACACCAAGCAAGCTATCATCGCTCTTCAGTGGAACCCTGGACAAGTGTGCCGCTTGCGAGAAGACCGTGTACCCTCTCGAGAAGGTAGGTTTGTTGGATAGAATTCCTCCTCTTTCTTTTTAAAAAGTATCTGAGAGAAATGGCGATGAACAAACAGGTGACGATGGAAGGAGAATGCTACCACAAGACATGTTTCAGGTGTGCTCACGGTGGATGTCCACTGACTCACTCGTCCTATGCCGCCCTGGACGGAGTCCTCTACTGCAGGCACCACTTCAACCAGCTCTTCCTCGAGAAAGGTAACTACAGCCATGTCCTCCAGTCCGCCCACCATCACCGCCGCACCTCTTCCGGCAGCACCCCTCCCCCAGAGCCCACCGACTCCGCCCCTGTCCCCAGGATCGATGAGGATGATGACCAAGGCTCTGAGCCTTGATCTGGATTTTCTATGTTGATTTCACTTCATATGGATTATATATATATATATATGTTGGGGTTAATTTGATTCCGTTATGCAGGACCAATGTGTTATTTTTTCTTTCCTTTTTATAACAAGTCTTTTTGTTGGATCCATTTGTTTAACTGAAAGGAAGAAAATTTGGGTGTATTATGATGTGGTTGGTGGTGGTGTGTTCTTGTTCTCTTCTCGTTTTGTAATATGAAGCTTAGAGCGCCTCATTTCTTTCTTTTGTTGTTTTCTCGGATATCTTCCTATACATTTGCCCAAACATGTTTTGAACTCCATCATCTTCCGTCGACGGATATTCCAAGCCTTTGTTCAATGTTCGTCACAAAATTATTTCCTCTTTTTTTTTTTAAAAAAATAATTAAAAAACTACTAACTGAAGAATGTGGGCCGACCCCACAAGGAGCCCAATAAAAAGCAAGCGACTCTACGCAGTCGGAAAAGGTCGTCCCTCGGACGTTACTCATATCATCACCAAAACCCTCACAATTTTTAATTTTAAAATTACATACAAAAAAAAAAAAAAGCTTAGTTGGAGGACTTTGTTCCACGCGCCCCACACGACTGTGGAATACAAAACCGGTGCAGCTATACAATGCAACCAATACAACCGGTTCGTTTTCAATATTCGGTCTGTTCATTAAAACGCATCAAAGTTGAAAACCATGAAAAATACATAAATTAATCTAAATTTAAGAAAATCTCAGATTAACCATTTTTTCCCTTTTAGGAATCTTCATATAATATAATAAACTACTATTAAACCGAACCGAATCCTGGTATTGGTCAGCCCAGACCGCGTCTGTATCTCACGCCCGTCTGATAAGCGCGTACGATGATGGAGAGCAATTGGGTATATTCAAGGCATCTTTTATTCGGAATGAATCTCCACACACGATGAAGGCCATTTCTGTAATTTTTCCAGGAGAACGGAAAAACAATCCTACCTTGTTTGGTTGGCGAGAGTGAAAACCCAGAGAGAGAAAACTTGGACGGAAAATTTGAAGAGCGCCGAAACGGAATTCTCCAGTTTCTGTGCGCAGCCACTCTGATCGCTCCTCTCTCCCTCTCTCTCGTCCTCCTCCACCATTAGCCCTTTCTCAACTCATTCTTCGCATCGACTTCCCATGACCGGTCAGTCTTCTCTCTTCCTCTGCGTTCTTGTATAGCTGTTCATATAGTTTTACTTGCGTATGTAGGTGTACCGGTTTTCTGTTCGCGCATATGAGTATTGAGTTTGGTTAATAGATCGCTGTGCGTGGTTCTTGATATTGTTCGTTTGGTCTCGAATGCGAATTTGCGGTCTATCAAACCGTGTCATTTCCGTTTTTGTCAGCAGGTGTTCAATAAAGGTTCGACAAACACGGTAGGCTTCTTTAGATCGTGTTCACAAGCTCGATTTGAGATATGGACTTCGCGTGTGGTGTTCAGCAGCGGAGTTTCCTTCATGGAGGTGAAGGGGCGGGTTACGGCTTAACCAATCGATTGCTAGGCCCCAAACTGTGTCACAAGGGATTTTGCATTAAATTTTTTAATCCGGCGTTTGATACTAAAGTGGGGGCGTCGAGAAGATTGAGGAAGAATGCTGAACACAGTGGCCCTTTGACTTTGAATGCCGTTTCCACCGGAAGATTCTGTAGTCATTCGCTTCCCAGAAAATCTTTAGTTTGCAGTGGTCGCGAAACTAAGAGTTTTCTGCAGGGATTTAGGTTAAATTGTCAAGCTAACGATGCTTTTGGAAATGTGGATGGGAATAGCCGAGATGCTGAATTTGCAGATAGTGGTGATGGGTATCTGGGGAATAGTTCAGAAGACAATGAGGTTACTAATTCAAAAGAAGAAGAAAAAGAAGTGAGAGAGGAGGCAGAAACACCTAGTCTGGAGGAACTCAGGGAGTTATTGCAGAAGACAATCAAAGAATTGGAAGTTGCTAGGCTCAATAGCACCATGTTTGAGGACAAAGCCCAAAGAATATCAGAAGCAGCAATAGCATTGAAAGATGAAGCAGCCAATGCCTGGAACGATGTTAACCAAACCCTTGACATGATTCAAGAGACAGTTGACGAGGAATGTATTGCTAAAGAAGCTGTTCAGAAGGCTACTATGGCATTATCTCTAGCTGAAGCTAGGCTTCAGGTTGTACTGGAATCACTTGAAACAGCTGCTGGAAATGATATTCGAGAAGCTTCTGGAGAGAGTGAGATTAGTGACGATGTTAAAGATAAAGAAGAAGTCCTTTTAGCTGCTCAGGATGACATAAAAGAATGTCGAGAAAATTTAATGAATTGTGAAGCCGAACTGAAGCGTTTACAGAGTAAGAAAGGGGAGCTGCAAAACGAAGTGGCCAGATTGAATGAGGTAGCTGAGAGAACACAGATTGACGCATTGAAAGCCGAGGAGGACGTTGCAAATATTATGATATTAGCCGAGCAAGCTGTTGCGTTCGAAGTTGAGGCAACTCAACGTGTGAATGATGCCGAAATTGCTCTCCAGAGAGCTGAAAAGTCACTTTCCAGTTCTCAAACCCAAGAAAAACCCCAGGGCCAGGTATTTTCTGAAGAAATTATTCTTGAAGAAGAGGAGGTTGTTCCAAGTATTATTGATGATGGGAGCCATGAGGGAGAAAGAGAGTTACCAATAAATGGCGATTCATCAATTGCCCAACATACATCAGATCTTGTGTCTAATAAAGTCGGCCAGAGCACTCAACAGTTTACTCAGCCTTACGAGATAAGTGATCATGAGAACGGAAAGCCAAGCGCAGACACTGTTAAGGATGTTGAAGCTGAACCAGAAAAGTCAAAGAATGTCGTCCAAACAAAGAAGCAGGAGATGCAGAAAGACCTGACAAGGGAGGCTGCTTCTCTTAATGCTCCAAAGGCATCACGGAATAAATCATCCCGGTTCTTTTCTGCATCTTTCTTCTCTTTCAGTGCAGATGAGACTGATTTCACTACTGAAACAGTTTTTCATAGTCTGGTGGACTCTGCGAAAAGGCAATGGCCTAAGCTAATTCTCGGAGTAGCACTGCTTGGAGCAGGGTCAGTCTATAAAGTTACTCTTTATTGTGTCATTGTTTTTGAGGATCGATGTTAAATTCCAAACTGTCCTTTTTAGTGATCATACCACAAACTTTGTCAGTTTTGATAATTGTAAGATTTTGATTCATGTCAGACTAACATTCTACACCAACCGAGTAGTGAGGAACAATCAGCTGCTTCAGCAGCCGGATGTTATCACCACTAGTGTAGAAGATGTTTCCTCCAATACAAAACCTCTTATCCGGCGGGTGCAGAAACTTCCCAAGAGAATCAAGAAACTACTTGAGATGATCCCTCATCAAGAGGTACCAATGAATTATGCATTTACTTGTTACTTCTAAGTCCAAAGCAGTTATTATGAAACATGATTTGATGACTTTTTCATATTCATAGATGAATGAGGAGGAAGCTTCCCTTCTTGATATGTTGTGGTTACTGCTTGCAAGTGTCATATTTGTGCCTCTATTTCAGAAAATTCCTGGAGGTAACAGAATTGTTTGACACCGCTTCTTAAATTTCTGTATCCATTATATATTGGATTTCTCTGTATATGTAGCTTTTGTTTCAGGATTCATCTCAACTCCTGCCATGTTCCTATCATGTCAGTCAAACTATTTTACTGTTGTCCAGTGATTTTTATTATCTGCAATGTATAGGCAGCCCTGTTCTTGGGTATTTGGCAGCTGGAATCCTGATTGGTCCTTACGGTCTCTCTATAATTCGTCACGTGCATGGAACCAAGGCCATTGCTGAATTTGGAGTCGTTTTCTTGCTTTTTAACATTGGCCTTGAGGTAAAGTTCACTGATTGATGTATTTGAGTGCTGGTCCTTTTCTTTTTATCTGTTTTTGATAGAAGTTAAGAGCTGATCTGTTCCTTTTGTTGCAGCTATCTGTTGAAAGGCTAAGTTCCATGAAGAAATATGTTTTTGGATTGGGCTCTGCTCAGGTCAATTTAGGAACCACATATCTCATTTCTTGTATCCACGTTGCCAGGCCCGGGATGCATACCTATTTTTATGCATGAAGCAGAGTTCAAGTCATCTAATCTAGTGTTTCATTTTCTTAATCCAGGTTTTGGTGACAGCAGCAGTAGTCGGGTTGGTTACACACTTTGTTGCTGGTCAGCCTGGTCCAGCTGCGATAGTTATTGGAAATGGTCTGGCATTATCGTCCACTGCTGTCGTCCTTCAGGTAAAATTTTGCAGTCTTGCTCTACCACTTTGTACCACTTGCTGTTATTTGAGTATGTGACTGTTTTATGGATGAATTCGTCTATAACTTGTACTATACCATGATTGGCCCTCTATAAGAGATTCTCTAGGAGAATTTATCGACAGACATTTTATTAAGTGTCTAGGTGCCATTTGTTTTAATGGATACAGTTGACTTGGTTTGTAGGTTTTACAAGAACGAGGTGAGAGTACCTCAAGACATGGACGAGCTACATTTTCTGTCTTGCTTTTCCAGGTTGGTTCATTATGCTGAATTAGTTCTGTAGTACATCTCAGAACAAATTAATGTTCTGACATGGATAGTGGCCACTATGCTGGAAAATCCTAATCGATTTGTTCCTATTCTTCCCAGGATCTGGCGGTGGTTGTTCTACTGATACTTATTCCACTTATTTCCCCTAATTCATCAAAAGGAGGGGTAAATTTAGCACTAGTCTTTTCCTGCTTTATCTTAGTTTCCCTTCATTTTGTGCTTTATATGATTGGACTAGTGTAATCAAATGAATTATTCAATACTCTCCTTTGGTGCTAGTATTGGTAAACCATGGCTAGTATCACTCATATATTCTATGTACTCATTAGCTATTATTACTAATAGGAGAACCCTCACTGGTTTTTTCAGGTTGGATTTCAAGCCATTGCTGAAGCTCTTGGACTTGCTGCAGTTAAGGCAGCAGTTGCTATTGCTGCCATTATTGCCGGTGGACGCCTGGTAAGCCTTGTTTACCTCTGAGATACTTCAACTTTTGACACTCAAGGTATTCCATTTAATTTGTAAGATGGAACTTATGATTTTCCACTGATGGTGCCATGTTAATGAACTTGCTGTGAAAGTATATTATTACTACTGCTGGTAATTATAATGCTTCTTTGCAATTATCCAGCCTATGCATTGACGTTCTTTTGGCATATGCAGCTTCTTCGCCCTATCTACAAGCAAATTGCAGAAAACAGAAATGCCGAGATATTCTCCGCCAACACACTTCTTGTTATTCTTGGGACTAGCTTACTCACAGCTAGGGTATGACCTTGACCTTCCTTGTTGCTTGTTTGAGCATTCCCTTTGTCCGTTATCCCATTTATTCCATCGTGCTAACGTTTTCAGTGTCCTGTTCTCTAAATCAGGCTGGATTGTCCATGGCATTAGGAGCATTTTTGGCTGGTTTACTCCTTGCAGAGACAGAATTTTCTTTGCAAGTTGAATCAGATATTGCTCCATACCGTGGTCTTTTGTTGGGACTCTTCTTCATGACGGTAATTCTATGAATTATCTTTTGAAATACGTGTATCAGTGCTTAAGGGTTTTTATAGGTTCAGGAAACTATCGACGATAAAAGATAGATATAAATAATTTTTTTTATTGTTCTTGTGAGATCAGAATCTTATTTCAGATGATTAACACGTGTATTCAGGTGCTTGGAAGAAATAACTGGTAAAGTTTATTGGATTTCAGGTCGGCATGTCTATTGATCCAAAACTTCTTCTTTCTAACTTCCCTGTGATAATGGGAACATTGGGGCTCTTAATAGGCGGCAAGACAATATTAGTTGCGATAGTGGGCAGATTGTTCGGCATTTCAATCATATCTGCAATTAGGGTCGGTCTTCTTTTGGCTCCTGGTGGAGAATTTGCATTCGTTGCTTTTGGTGAAGCTGTCAATCAGGTTTGTTATTAATTCAATTTAAATTGCGAAGATTGCCTTTCTACATATTCTCAATTTCTCACTTCTGCCGAGGACCAAACTGGTGTTTCCTGCAGGGTATAATGTCTTCCCAGCTATCTTCCTTGTTGTTTCTTGTCGTGGGAATATCAATGGCCATCACACCATGGTTAGCTGCTGGTGGTCAGTTAATTGCATCTCGATTTGAGTTGCATGATGTTCGCAGTTTATTGCCAGTTGAAAGTGAGGTGGGATTCCTCACATTTAAAACTCATCATCATCATCTATAGAATTAACAGCATAATTTGTAGTTGGCCATACAACGATATGGTGTCTCTTTAGCATCCTTTAGAAACACAACAGATTCCGAGTAATAATGAAAGTCACAAGAATATGTTGCAAATCGGCTGATCTGCTTTCTAACATGATTTTCTTTTCAGACGGATGATTTGCAGGATCACATCATTATTTGTGGATTTGGGCGAGTTGGTCAGGTTCAGACAACATCCACACTTATTGCTCGAATAAAAACCTCGCTTGAGAATCTTTGCTGACTTTCGATTTGTTACTGCCAGATAATAGCGCAGCTTCTTTCAGAAAGACTCATCCCATTTGTTGCCCTCGATGTCACAAGGTAAACTGATACTTGTCTAAATATTTATTCCTTCCCATCATTACTGAAGTGACATTCTGTGCCATTAAACTGCAAACTTGGCTTCAATGTGAATTTCATAATGTTCTATCTTTACTCACAGATCTCGTTTTTTTCCTTGACCTCTGATCTGAAAGTCTTGTTTTTAAGGCAATGTTAGTTACATCAGCCAATTTCCCATTCTTTTACTTTCTCATATTCTAAGCAATAAGATTTATGAAGCTGGTTTTCTACATGTGCAATGTATTTAAATAGCTTGGTCGATTTCAAGACCATCATTAACATAAAAAAACCCCTCCTATCATTACAGTGATAGAGTGGCAATTGGGCGTTCATTAGATCTCCCAGTCTATTTTGGAGATGCTGGAAGTAGAGAGGTAAAACAACCTATCGAAACAACTCCAAACTGAACAAGTTTCACCATCTGACATTCTCAATCGGTAACAAGCAGGTTCTTCACAAAGTCGGTGCAGAGAGAGCGTGTGCTGCAGCGATAGCTTTAGATACACCAGGAGCAAACTACAGATGTGTATGGGCACTGAACAAGTATTTCCCCAACGTCAAAACCTTTGTCCGTGCACATGATGTTGATCATGGCCTCAACCTTGAAAAAGCAGGCGCCACTGCTGTAATTGCCCTCCCCCCCCAAACCTTCTTCTGGTCATTCTCCTTTCTCCTTTCTCTTTCTTTGATTGTAGACTAAAATCTCCAACTGAAACACTGTAGGTTGTTCCGGAGACTCTTGAACCAAGTCTGCAGTTGGCAGCTGCTGTTCTTGCTCAGGTGAAATAGAGTATAGTTGCAGTATGAAACCATAAAAACCGATTTAATCTAATTTAAGATGGCTGAGTTCCTTGCATAATCTTATGTTTTTTTTTCAGTGCATGTTACTGAGGATTTTTTTCTTTTGTGCCCTGTGATGGTATGTTACAGGCCAAATTGCCGGCGTCTGAGATTGCGACAACCATCAATGAATTCAGATCGCGTCACTTGTCTGAGCTAACGGAGGTATGGAGTTGACTTGTTTGTTTCCAAATTTGGTAAAAAAAAGTTGTTTGAGGAGATGATTAACGAAATGCATGTTGTTTGAAAATGGAAGCTATGTGAGGCAAGTGGGAGTTCGCTGGGGTACGGATTCTCAAGGACGGTGAACAAACCCAAAGCTCAGCCGCCACCTCCACCTTCGGAAGCCTCCGACGACAACATCTCTGAAGGCACTCTCGCTTTCTGATCTTTCTTCACTTCCTCCGCCTTATTATTATCATCTCTGTACAGATTTATCCTCTGACCAGGATTGGGAATTGGGAATAGGAAGGAACACACTCAATTCTTCGACAAATAAAACAAATCGATATGCTCCCAAGTTTTGATGGGATGGAATTTCCCATAGGAAAAAAGCTTCTTCTTTTTTTTTCTGTTGTTCCTTCAATTGTTTTCTGGGTTTATATTAATATATTCCCAGAAGAGTATTGGCAGACACAGGTCGCTCCCCCAAAATAAGGTTCAGTCAGGACAGAAGACGCAGCGTTTCAATACTGACTTTTTTAAGTCTGGAACGACTCAAACTCGTTTGGCCATCGGCGGTGTCACCATCTCGTCTATCTGGTACGATTCCTACTTACCCCATTGTGATTCAGAAAAGAAATTTATCACTACTTTTCTCTCTTTGTGAAAAAAAGCCATTCAGGAAACACCGATGTCGTTCAGCACTGGTTCGAGCACAGATCAATCCGGGCTTCAAAATGTTCTATCATAGCTTCACCCTTCTCTCTCTTCTTCCTAAGAATCGAAACCTGTGTACCATCCGATCAACAGAGAAAGAATGATCTCAAACTTAGTTCTGAAGCTTCCCCTTGGTATACATACGAGGGAAGACCGCGTTGATTGATATCAGTTGCAAAAGGTCATACCTTTGGCTTCTCTATAGAACTCCCATAGTATCCCACACCAAAAGATGGTGACGAATAAGCAGCAGCTATCTCCACTGATCTCAGTTCCGATACATTCCCCAGGGCCTTACAAGGAAAACAGATTGATCAGCGTCAGGTAGAATAAACTAAAACAGAGATGGTACTTTTAATCCTGAACTCACAGCCACAGGAGCATCTGCTTGAACAACTAGAAACCCAGCAGTTCTGTTAACACCACCATCCTCTGAATCTTGTTGCATCACAGAACGTAAAACCTTCATGGCGGCAGATGCAGGACCAGCTTGTGAACTAATAGACCCAAGAACAATGCCTTCTTAGCTTTGTCTCAGAACAACAGCCCGGAAAACCACAAACCAAAATGCAAAAAATAAAAATAAAAATGATATATACAGCGATAATGAGGTACAGCATTCCCGAGCAGCAAATCCTCTCATGAGATACTCTCCAGAGCCAGACACACAACATCCAACTATAAAGGGAGCTCCGAATGGCCCTTTTGAGGATGCCCAGCAGCCAGAGCCATATGTTGCTGCTAAACCCACACGGCCACTAACCTGATGTTCAAGTTCAGGGATAAAAGGACCTATGTTCAGTCACATGGTGATTGTTAGGGGCTGATGGTATGGTACGTCGAAGAATGGATTATTACCACCTTCATTGCAATTCCGCCACTTGAGCAACCACAAGCTATGTGTCCTTCACTGTCAACACAAATAACGCCAACAGTGTCCATGATCTTGTCCTCATCTACTGTACAACATATGGATGTCTGATCACACACTCCATCATCCACGGTTTTGCTGGGCTGTCCTCCAGCAGAAAGGTTCCTTTCTGTCTCTGCATCTGCAAGCATTGTCCTAAACCTTTGCCACTGTGTTCTTGCTCTCTCTGTCAATAGCCACTGTAACAACATCAGATGCTTAAGATTGTGAGATGCTCCAGGTACACTATGTCTGAGCTGAAATATCATTCCCAAGAAAATTCAGAATTATGGTGTAAAGATAAATTTTCAACCTGATCAGCCTCTGATACAGTATCTGACGAAGCAACACCTTTGGACATGGCCCATAGCCGGGCACCTTCCCCAACCAAGAACCTAAAAGGCAGATCAAGAAGCTCAATGTCCGAAAGTAAACAAGCAAAAACTTCACATTTGGTATGAATGAACGGAAAGCAAAGAGCAGTCATTTATCACATTGGAGGTATGCGGCCTAACAACAAAGACCCCATCATCTGCTCTTTCACCAACAAAGCAGCTATCTTGATGGCAT